AACTAAAACCAAACCAACTAAAAATCCCACCCTAGAGACTAATCCCTAGGTCACTGTCACTATTGTACTCGTATACAACTTTTCCCATTCTTCAAAATAAAAACTCAGGAACTCAAAGTATATTTATGTCTGACTTCCAGAGGCCTATTATGGATCCTTGTAAAACTCTTGCCTTGGAAGAGACTTTCACACATTGCAACTAATAACAGCTTCCCATAGCCAACTTAATAGCCCTGGAAAATAGTAATTGATAGTTTGAGACTATATGTGGTGGAGAATGAGAAAGCATGAAATCTCTCCTGCTAAATTGTTGGTTTGCTTTCTTCTGTTAAACATTGCTGGTGTGGATTGTGAGTTGTTAGTTGCAATTGGGTGATGATGAGCATGTTGGATCTGTAAATTTGAAATGAGTAGTCTGGATCTTTCTGATGATTATGTTGAAACCCTTGACCGTTGTGTTATGCCTGTTAACTACTTTTTTAAAATAAGGATGCAGTGTATGAAAAATAAGAAAGAGATTTTCCAAGTTAAGGAATAACTGATTATAAACGCCCTGTTTTGGAGCATATATTTGTCAANCATGTTGGATCTGTAAATTTGAAATGAGTAGGCTGGATCTTTCTGATGAGAATGTTGAAACCCTTGACCATTGTGTTATGCCTGTTAACTACTTTTTTAAAATAAGGATGCAGTGTATGAAAAATAAGAAAGAGATTTTCCAAGTTAAGGAATAACTGATTATAAACGCCCTATTTTGGAGCATATATTTGTCAACCGATCATTTTTTTACCTACAACTAATGGTTCTTTTGAGAATTTTTTCGAATTGTATTAACTTGAAAATCTTGCATATCTAGGCTAATTGGATTAGATTGTCTATTTTCATCATTAGATTCAAATAGAAATGCTAGACATCATATCAATATTTTCAATGCTTCGCCTTCAAGTTAGAAAAGTTTGGTGGTAGTAAGTAATATATTTGAACATCCCAACTTCCACATTTTATGCACAGTTCCATGTGGATGATCCATGTAGAAAGTAAGCCCGCGTTTGAATTCCATTATTTAAAAACTCA